GCTGTCCAAGAATTCCATCCTTCTACCTTGGCTTGTACAAACTGCACAAAGTCAGTTTGTACAGGCAGGGTGAAATTCACCTGAACTGAATGATTGTCCTGAGCATCTTTGCAGTATCAATACTGTTGTGTTTTAGCAAAACCCATCATATCGTGATGATTTGATTTCATCACTAACTTGATGTGATAGGCAATCATTTTAGTGTATGTTTGTTTTTCCAATAACAAAATAAGGCATTAACTAAACATAACTATATTTTCATGGTCTCTCATCAAGGATAATTTAGACCCCAGATCTTTTTCTGTTACTCATTTAGAGTCTCGGACCTCTTTTAAATGTTTGGACTAACAGGGATCATTAGCATAAATAAAATTCTGTAGTTATGCCACCTCTAGTTTGGCCTGATTTGGTTCTGATTCTGCTCTCATTGAATGGTGAAATTCCTGCTGCTTTCAGTGGAAGAATTATTGGGCCCTAAAACTCTCTCTCATGCTCTTACTATGTCCGTGTAACTACATGTAATTGTTTCCCTCACCCTTCTTCTCTCCTTCTCTTCTGTTGGTTCACACTCACATGTTGAGTGTAGAGTCTAGTTTAAGACCAGACATTTTGGAGCAGGGACTGTGCTAGATGCTGTACACAGGTATGATTGGGACCTTGGGTGCTCCCACAATATAGATACAGTACAAATAAATAGTAATAATGGGAGTTTGGGACCCAGATCGGGCCCTTCTTTTTACTCTAAGTTTCCATTTCCCCTCTTTCATTATTCAACATAAATGGCTGTACTGATTGTGGATCCTTGAAGACTTTTTGAAATTTCAGGAATAACCCTGAGTTTTGTTAGGTGAAGAGTCCTGAGCCATAGATTTTTTTTTCCTAGCATCTTCTCTTGTTGCAAGGAGCTTGTAGTTTGAAGTGTCTTTAAGCAGTCTGTCTGCAATAGTGTTCAGTCTTTCCCTGGAAGGGTGATGGAGGAGTAGGGATGGGCCATGGGTCCGTGCTTCTTGTAAAACTTGAACACTACCCTGATTAGAACTGAATTTCTCGTCAAATGCCTGCTCTGGCCATTCGGAAATAGTCTTCTGGAGACGGAATTACTTTGTGGCCACCTCCTTCCAGAGCCAGCGCCCTAGTTTGCTGCAGTGTGTTCTGTAGGTCAGGGCTTCTCAACCTTTTTGATACCAGGGACCAGCCTGCTGCCTTCCTAAACTGTGTCAGGGAGATCACAGGGACTTGCGCTGGTCCACAGACTGGTCGTTGAGAAACACCACTCTAGGGCACATGTCTCATTTTCTAGAATGGTCTGGGATTTGCTGCATCTCCGTTATTCCACCCTGTTATCTTCCAAAATCCCCATTCTTTCTCCCATTTCAGGAAATCTTGGGCCCAGAGAAGTCACTTCTGGCTTCCTTTTCCCAGTTCTGTTGTTTCATCTGTAGCAGTAGCCATAATCATTTTTGAAAGATTTAATTTCTTTAGGTACAGAAGCCTGCATTAGCTGGGTTGCCATGGTAACCATCTCACTGGATGCCAAGTGTTGACTGTATGAATCCCACAGGAGCATGAGTACCCCTTTCATTTACAAAAAAATGTTACTGGATATCAAGTTTTAATTTGTGCTCAGTGTTTTCGCTCAGACTGTCAGTAGTAGTGAGCTCTTGAGCTATGCATCCATTACTTTAAATGGTCATGTCACATCTCAGATGATTTATGTGTGCATCAGCATACCCACTGTATTTGGGATCATAATCTTGCCCATGGGATATAAAATTACCCAGAAGTGCATGCAATGCAGAACTCCCTGTGGCCCTCCCAATTCCCAGCTTGTTTCCCTGTAGTCCATCAAGAGCATGGCCATTCAAACCATGTTCTGTGCTACAGTTCCTGCGGAATCCATTTGACATGTGTTCGCACTCATTTGAATCGCTCCTCTAGCTCCTCGTCTCCTCCCAAAACAAGTTCAGGAATTTTGTCCTCTTCAAGACTGTACAGTTGTGCCCCTGCCTGTATTTCTGCTCTTGTCTCATCACATGCTTCCTCACCCTCCTTGTCAGCTCCTGTTAACCCCTTAGCTCACTTTTATTGGTGCCTTCTTTCAGGCCACCACTTTCCCAGGGGGCCAGCCTACTCCATTCTCTATGTAAATTCCTCTGAAAACCCACTACTTCCCTGAGGCCCACACCCACTAACCTACATCAATATTAAGTCATTAAATGCTAAGCTAACAGAGAGCTTCCCCTGGGCCTCCAAGTGGGTTTGCACCTGATTTGTTTTGTCTTAGAGCCTAATCCTACAAGTGCACCTGTGCGAGTTGGCTCCTGTGCCTGTGTGGAGACCTGTTGACTTCTCTGAGGCTCCAATGTGACAACAGGGTCCTCCCTTAAGACGCAGTTGCAGAATCTGGGCCTTAAGCTATAAGGCCAGAACCTCAAAGGCTTTTAGGTGCCTAACTCCCATTGCTTTCAATTTCATGGGAGTTAGATTCTTAAATACCTTTGAGGATCTGGGCTGAAATTCCTCTGGGCTAGGTCTGTCCATACAAGTGTATTACACAGCACCAACAACACCTGTAACACTCAGCAAATAATATAAGTGCCCTGGCGCAACTTAAGGCAAAGGATGCAGACCTAACTCTGAATTTTTGGGCAGAGGCGTTTGCCACTTCATAGCATAATGTCATTCAGGGGTGCTGGAACGCAGTGGGGGTGCTGAGAGCCATTGAACCAAACTGTAAACCCTGTATATGATGGAAACCACTTCAAGCCAGGGGGTGCTGCAGCACTTCCCACACCCCTAGTTCCAGCACCTATTATGTCATTTTAATATCTTTTTTTTTGTATTTATGAAAAAATAATTGGAAGTGCTCACCAACACAACAAACGACATTTGGGCTTTGCAGATCTCCCTTGATTCCTCTGTGTAGAAGACGGGGATCATTTGTCTTAACATAGTTTGCACCTTTAAGCACTTCAGTACTGTGCTGCTTCTGTCTGTGTAGGTTCCAAGAGCCATTTCCCCTTATTTGAATTGGTTTAGATAAGCTTGTTCTACAGGTCAGAACAGAAGCTGCATGTATTTGTGTACAAAGAATGATTGATTGTCAGTCCAGGTTAAATGCATATATAGAATAGTTCCAGCCCACAGGATTAGCAAAAAGCATTTCAAAGTCAATTGCATCAAATTAGATGGCTCAGACCCACATACTGTACATAGTACACTGCTTCCTTCCTCCTCTGTGTCTGTCATCTGGAAGATGAAAAATTATAAAGGCGGAAGCTGAAAGCATCATTAAATGTTAATCTGCTGGGGCTTCCTTAGTGCTACTGAGGTCAGTTTCTGTTTCTGAATATAGTGACAGATGGGGTGTCCGCTGTGAAAAAATGCAGCTTTGCCAAAAGCCATCAGGACATGAGCTGTCCGTCATCCTGCACGTGCTCCCACCATGCGCCCTATTAACAGTGAATGTGAGCTCTGTGTGTGTTTTAAGATGGAAATGTTCAGAAGGGAGCATAGGGGGATGTGAATTCCCACTAAGAATAGATAGGTAGAAACACAGGCATGGATATTATGTATTGACAATAAATTAGGGAGGATAGGCTTCAAAGAAGAGCCAGTCATGAGCTTTTGGCCGCTGTAGGTACATCTCCATTGTGTTTTAAAGGCAGAGAGTCTCAGAACCCAGGTGTTCAGACCCAGGCTTGTGGAACTTGCGCTGTGACACTAGAAACAGCTGTGTAGATGTTCGGGCTCTGGCTTTGAATCTCTCACATCCTGCAGCCTTCAAATGCAATTTTAAATTGGTTTGTGCAGAAACGTTAGGGTCTTTAAATTGTTGCTAAAGGCAATTTCCCTCAAGTTGGAGGACACGATGACTTTGCCACATTTGATTCAGGAATCAAACCTTGGAGGTTTACCCATTAGTACAAAATGATATTTGAGGTCATTAGCTGACAATCTTGGGAATTTTACTTTAATAAAGGAGAGCTCCATTGCTGTTTAGTTGGCTGAAATGTAAGAAAGGTGAATGGTCTTGCTTGGGTCTCTCTATATATACACCTGTTTTGTACTGTGTGTCTGGATTGCTATAGCTTTTACAGCATCTCTTTGTAATGTACCAGGGGGAGGATGCAGTGTAAAACAAACCAATACAGGCCCTCTCCACACAGCACTACACAGCCTATTATTAGCAAGCATGGTGCAATTACTGCTTCAATTGCCACCTTGTGCTACTTGTTTGACACACTGAATGCACTACGGCTGACGAGCTAAGGTATTGCTCAGCAACTCCAGGGAGAGTTGCTGGCACTGTGACCCAAAGCCTGTCTACTGGCAGATGAGACAATGGAGAAACGAGTGACTCCCTAGGCCCAAAGAAATCCTGCTATTTCACACAGTTATGTTGGCTAGCCTGCAAACCTGCTGGTTTCAGTACGTAAGGGGTGCTGTTCCTAATGCCCCTATGGAGCGCAGGCAAGTTCCTCTGTTGCTTTAGATGGATCAGAGACTTCCTTCCCTTTCTGTCTCTAAACTCCTGTGTGTCATTGCCAGTGCTGCTGTAATGGCTGCCCCCAATCCACTCTTGAGCTGGCTGTGTTTTGATGGTGGGGGAAGGGTTTCATGTATCATTCTACAGAGCATTCTGAGGCTTGCGAAAAGGACTCTATACATCAGCAAATAATAAAATTCCTCGAGTTTGCCACCCCGAGAGGACAGGCACACTCTGCTGAACGGATAAATAAGCCCAGCTGTTTCAACTCTGCCTGACCTTACTTAACTTCACTATTCTGCAGAGTATGCAATTTACAGGGCTGCGGTTATATTAGATAGGTTAATTGGACACGTCATTCTCTGGGCTTGATTTTCTTTTAAGGGCACAAAATGCTTCAGTGCTTGTATAATTGTGTACTGTAAAAGTCAGCAGATCAGTCCAGAACGAACCTTTTTACTCTTTTAAATTGGCAAAGTTTTATAGAAAGCATTTTCCATGTCAATAAGAGAGAGCCTACATATTCAGCCTCTTGTTTCCACTGAACTGAATAGCATCATGTCTGAAACAAACGGACTATCTAGCTGTGCTTATGCACAAAGTCAGACTCTGAATGGATATGGCCTTTCCACAAGAGAAGCAGAGGCTTGACTCTGAGAGGGAGGCTGTGTTGCAGAAGCTGCAAAAGCTGCAACAAAATTATTGAAATCCTGGAACACGCTGACTTCTAGGAACTGGAATTACAAAGAAAGCCTGGCTGTGGGTGTAGCCAATTATGCTTATTGAGGCTGTTCTGTTTTCTCTCTATCTTGGTACGTATGTAGCCCCAGTTACTGTTGTATCTGAGTCTCTCACAACCAGTAATAGAATTCATGCTCACAGCCCTGTGAGTAGACAGGAAGAACTATTATTCTCATCGTACAGACGAGAAACTGAGACACAGAAGGACAACCTTGGCCAAGTTCACTCAGGAAGTCTCTGGCAGTGGAGGGGAACCAGGACTTCTGAGTCCCAGGTAAGCCTGGCACCTAAACTACTGGATCATCTTTCTTCCCATATAGACATATCTCTATTAGGATTGTGTGAGTCTTGCAGGGACTGGTTTATCACCTGCATTGTGCAGTTCAGTTTTCAGGAGATCGAAATGAGCCAACTGAAACACTCTGCTGGGGAAATCCAGGTCTGTGAGCCACTGTGATGCCTCTCTGCTTCAGCAAGAGTGAGCTTTGCTGGTGATTAGACTGTGTCAGCTCTCTGCCACACCAGTCTGTCACCTCACCAGCAAACACCTCAGCACTCTACCAGTCTTCACCTTGCCTAGCAGGTAATAATCAGTGAACTCTGGTCCCTGAGCTTTTCTGAGATGTCTCGCTGCAATTCACAGCACTTACGGCTGTACAGTCATAGAAGATATTAAGTCCCCTATTATTTTAAAGTGTTTGTGGATTTGCTCACCTTGGAGCTTCACGGCAGCGCTCAGTTTGGCTGTTTTCATGAACCCACAGTCCAGGTCAACTCCTCCTGTGTCTGACCAGGAGTTGGGAGGTTTGGGGGGAACCCGGGCCCGGCCTCTACTCCGGGTTCCAGCCCAGGGCCCTGTGGAATGCAGAGGTCTGGAGTGCCTCCTGGAACAGCTATGTGACAGCTACAACTCCCTGGGCTACTTCCCCATGGCCTCCTCCCAACACCTTCTTTATCCTCACCATAGGACCTTCTTCCTGGTGTCTGATAATGCTTGTACACCTCAGTCCTCCAACAGTATGCGTTCTCACTCTGAGCTCCTAGTGCCTCTTGCTCCCAGCTCCTTACACGCACACCACAAACTGAAGTGAGGTCCTTTTTAAACCCAGGTACCCCAATTAGCCTGCCTTAATTGATTCTAGCAGCTTCTTGATTGGCTGCAGGTGTTCTAATCAGCCTGTCTTAATTGTCTCCAGAAGGTTCCTGATTGTTCTGGAACCTTCCCTGTTACCTTACCCAGGGAAAACGGACCTACTTAACCTGGGGCTAATATATCTGCCTTCTATTACTCTCCTGTAGCCATCTGGCCTGACCCTGTCACACTGGCTAATTCTTAGCTTAGATTCCTGCATAGTCCAAGGCTCTGGTTTTCCTTGTCTCCTCAGGTGAAGGAGAACTTCAAGTTTTTCTGTGTGCCCTTAATATCTCTAAGTTTGCCTTTGTTTTCAGGGTTAAGTGGGTTCCCTGGGATTCTGTCTCCTTCAGGGGGTTTACTCCATTTTGATTAAAGTGTCCCTTAGTATGTCCCAGTGTGTTGCTTCCTGAGGCAATTTTGCAATATAACTGCTCTGTTCCTGTAAGCTGTGATACAAATGAGCAGCCCATTGAATTTGGCCACACCAGGTTTGAGGTGTTGGCCTCTTTCCTTTGTCTGGAGAACATCTGTTTATCAACTTGCCCTGACATACCTGGTTTACAAACCTTTTAGTGACAGACTTTTAACTGTAACATCAATGAGTAGCCCTAATTCCACATACAACACTGTAACGTAAATTTCACAGTGATATTTTTGACCAGTGTGGTGTTAGCTTTCATATGATCCCTCACAAGACCTAGTTTGTACAAAAGTCACTTCAGCAGTGTTTAGCGCAGGGGTAGGCAACCTATGGCACGTGTGCCAAAGGCGGCACACGAGCTGATTTTCACTGGCACTCACACTGCCCGGGTCCTGGCCACCAGTCCAGGGGGCTCTGCATTTTAATTTAATTTTAAATGAAGCTTCTTAAACATTTTAAAAACCTTATTTACTTTACATACAACGATAGTTTAGTTGTATATTATAGACTTCTAGAAAGAGACCTTCAAAAAACGTTAAAATGTATTACTGGCACGCGAAACCTTAAATTAGAGTGAATAAATGAAGACTCGGCACACCACTTCTGAAAGGTTGCTGATCCCTGGTCTAGGGTATGAATACAGTGGTGCCTAGGGTCACGCCAAGTCACACAAGTTTATGTGGAGGTTTTGAGTTTGATAGACTGTCTCAGAAGGGAAACATGCCTCCTTTCCCAAAGCAGGGATGATTTTCACAGGCTATGAAACCTGTGGTGAGAGGGGGACCCAGCCTGGGATAAGTTTTATGTTTATGCTTCTCAAAAGTGCTGGCAAAAAAATCTGAGGTTGAAATTTTGCCTTGATTCAGTGGGGCACTTGGATCCTTCGCTGGAGAGCAGAGAGAAGGGAAAAGAGAAAATTCCACCAGCCATTTCTGAGGCGAGATGAAAGGAGAGGTAACAGAGACCTAAGAGTCTCTTCACCTTTGGCAGGAGGTGATGGGGAGCAAGGAGCAAAGTGGCTGGAGCCGCTATATCATTCACTGAGGAAGGTGGGGGAAGAGAAGGGTAGTTCCCAAATTGCTGCTTTTTCCATAGGACCTGTGGGCCCAAATGCAGGAGGAAGAGTGGAGAGGCAGAAGCTCTCCTGCACACCCAGTGTTTGGGAACAGCAGCAGAAGCAAGAAACCCTGCCATAAAGGACACGTAAGTGTGTGTGTTAGGGGAGTTATCGGGGGCAGAATCAGTAGGGAGTGGAATTGCTTTAGGGCAGAGCTGATTTATTTAGAAGCCAGAAAAGGTGAGAAAAGGGGCACAATTGATTGGACTAGGAGCCGGTAGAATTAATGGGGGATTTATGTGATTTATTGGGGGGAGGATGAAAAGATGTCAGTGGAAATTAAATCTGTATGGATTTGGTGGTGTGGTAGCACACGTATTCTTCACCCAGGTTATGTAGGTATAGTCCTCAGACAGGTAGGTGTTGCGAAATATTTCGATACCTGCTCCTAACTCTTCCTCCAGGCCATATAAGGAGTGAGTGAGAAAGTTGTGCCCTGTGAAACAGAGGAGACACCTTGCCCCTGACAGCCCTTCAGGTCTAGCCCAGACACACTGGAGTGGCCTGGTGCCTGACAGCACCTGGAGAGGTATGAGGGCAAGGAAAATCATATTTGGAAAGGATACTTTGATATCAGTGTATGTAAGAAAGCCATGAGGAGGGGGACATGGTCCTCTTCCCTTTTAGTTGCTATGTGTATTGGCTGCTGTCCTTACTTCCAGAATACAGCTACTGTGGCTTGAATGTTACCTCTGCCCCTGACTGAAACTGCCCCTGCTGGGTGGCTGCTGCTTCCTGTCCCTGCTTCTGCATCTCCTCTCAATTTTAATTGTAAGCATGGAGGGGAGCTGGAATGATTCAATGGGAAAGGGTTCGCTAGGGCCCCCTCCATACTGTTGGGGTGCAAGCTCCTCAGACTTCGTAAGGGGTGTATTTTGAGTCTCTTAATCAATTTTTGTAAAAAATATATATTGTGTTCAAAAATAGCCACCCAGCTGGGGGTGTAGCGCCGATCCTGTGGATCCGTGACAACATCTCAAATGATCTGCTTATTCTTTGAAATATACAGCATATAGTTGCCCTTCTTTTTTCACTGAAAATATCTGTAGTTATGCAACTTACCATGAAATTTGCTAGATCTTTTAAAAATCCCTACACCATATTAATATAATCTGAGAAGTGAATCCAACAGGCTGACTCTCTTTGTATGATTTAATTATACATTTATCCAAATGATATATCACCAGTTTTTGTGCTGACCAATCTGTTTAAATCCAACTGCAGTTTCTGTGTTTCTCACAGTCTTCTATAGCTTTTACTAACAAACAACTCAGGGCTTGTCTACATGGCAAGTTACTGCATGGCAAGCCAGGGCATGAATCTACAGCACCCCAGCTTGTCATGCAGTAATGTCCCATGTGGACCCTGTGACAGCACAGGGGGTGGTCCCAGAGTGTGACTGGGCTTCCTGCTACTTGCAAAGTGTGCGAGGCTGCTCTCCTGGGCGTTCAGTCCGCTGTAGCAGAGTCCACACGGGGGTGTTACTGCACAGCAAACTGGTGCTCCATAGATTGATGGGTACCCTGGCTGGCTGGAAAGTAATTCACCGTGTAGAGGAGTCCTGTTGTTTGTCACCAACAAACTTCTTATCGCTTGGTCTGCTTTCAGTCTAGAACAAGGCATTTGTGCTTAACCTACAGCTACGGATTTTCCTCAGTAACCTCCTATAAAGAACTTTATTTAAAAATAAAGGGTTTGAAAATCTATTTGACTATGTAGCGTGTGCAAAGTCAAACACACACAGACACTTTTGCAGGATCAAGTCTAAAAAGACCGACCAAGGGTGAGGAAAGGGACGCAACATACAAGCACAATGAATTAGATGATTGGCTCATGTCTTGTTTGCTCTCTAGCATTTAAAAGTGTGTTATTAGAATGTTCTCAGTTGCTCCTTAATGCAGCTGTTGTTAGCTGTTGTTTTTCAGAGGCATAGTGGTAGGATTGGGCTTCGAAGATGGATTTGAGTGTGAAGAGAGAGGCAGAATGAATTGTTACAGTATCCTACTATTTCAGCTACATATATCTAATCTATTTTTATTGTAATTTGGATTATAGTTTCCAGGTATCCAAAATGACAAACATAATGACAGCTACACTTTAAAAATACATCAGTGCATCCATATTAGTATCCCCAACATGACATTAAAATCATGGCAGGATGTGCTATTAAAATTCATAGGGAAGCATAAAAGATAAAGGGTGAGTTCTAAAGTTCTGTATAAGCCTACAAAGTGGGGTAGAGTCGCTTTCCCTAATTTGAGTTGTTGTGATGTATCACAATTAAGAGATGTGACTAACTGGGTTAACAATCACCCCTCCAAACACTTGAACAAGACTGGAGCCCAGCTATAGCTATTTATAGTATTTGTTGGGCTAAAAAGACCGAGATACAGGATCTTTATATTATTTACATTATTCTATTTTCCAAATTTACAAGTCAAACATTTTATTGTGAAATCTGGAATCAAGATGACTCTATCCAGACCTTTAACCACATTGGAGGAGTTGACCCTGGAACAAAAGGTTCAATTTCTAAGATGTATAGGATTCTGATTGAAAACAGATGTTGATAAGAAAACAACCCAGATGAAAAGAGAAGAGAGGGATTTGAACAAAGAAGTTGATCTGGATGAGTGGGTTTCTATATGAGAAAGGGGATATTTATCTTCAGTCTGTGTAGATAAAAACAAGAATAAGTTATTGCATAGATGGCATTTGACTCCAGTTAAGTCCCATCCTATTTTTGCTACTAGGGGGCACTCTGTTGGAAGGGTTGCAGGGAAAGGAGAACATATTTTCATGTATGGTGGTTATGTCCAGGAATTAGACAATTTTGGGAGGAAATTATTAGAGATTCATCTTATAACAAAATGCCAGCTTCCCACAGATCTCCTAAACTTCCCACTTAATGCTCCAGTGAAGGATCTAGATTTTAAACAGAACAACAAATTAATTTACTTTTTTATTGTTAGCAGCAAGACTTTGTATTGTGCATTATTAGAAAAATCTGTTTTTTCCTCTTATGGAATTGTGGTATAGTCAAATATGGACTGTCCTTGTAAAGTAAAAACTTTCACGCCAAGTATGTACACAAGAGAAGCGCCAAAAAGAGGATAGGTATTTAGAAAGTTTGTCACCCAACAAAAAACAAATTAGGTTACATTTTATTGCAACTTTGCCTTAATAAAAAGTTCCGCCCCCCCCCCCCCGTACGCCCCCCTCCGCCCCCATCCTATTACTACTACTACTAACCCATTCGTTCAGAATCAGGGATCTAGATGTTGGAAGAAAAAATATAGGCTTCCATTACCTCAGATGCAAGCTAGATGGTGCTAAAGCATACTAATATGATGATGTTCAACTAACAGCTGTTTGAAATGACAATCTTGATGATCAGAAGGACCTGGAATAAAGGAGACTCTGGAGTTAAGATTTGGTTTTTTGTTTGTTTTTTGTATGGCTTTGCATATAATTTTCGACCTGACTGAATAACAGTAGGTCCTGGTTCCCTAATCCAACCAGCACAGGCCCTGCTCTTTGGGGGGCCTCGTGCTTCAGGTGGTCACAGGATCCAGGGGTCCTTGGGAGTTAGCGGGGGACCTGGCGCCAGCCTGCTCTGCTCCGCCCCGCTGGCTCTTGGCGTCACCCTGGGGAGGGGGCAGAAGCCGGAAAGGGGCGAGGGTGGGGGCTTGAGGGAAGGGGTGGAATGGGAGTGGAGCAGGGCGGGCTGGGGCCAGGTCACTTGCTGCTGCTGGGACCAGGCCCTCCACTAACTCCCCAGGCCCCGCTGGACCCCACGTCCCCCTGAAGCACTGAGCCCATGGCAGTTGCCCCAGTGTGTCATATGGACGGGACAGCTCTGAAAATATAAGCCCAAACGCTGGTGGAGCCGGGCCCATGTTCCTGAATATTGGTGGAGCACAGGCACCAGGGGCCCATGTAACAAGCCGCCTATGCCATTGAGGGAATGAGACAACTAACTTCAGTAAAATCATGCATGCACTTAAGTCTGCAAGTTCAGGGCCTTTGTCTGAACTCAGGCAACTCTCATTATCGGTCAGCATAGAGCAGGTACTCAGATTTTCCCTTTGGCTCCCATAGTGAAACGTAGCCCAGTGGAGTGGGCCCTGGACTGTGAATCAGGGCTTGTCTTCACTACTGTGCTACACCGGTGCAACTGCATCAGTGCACTTGTGCTGAGGTAGTGCATCTGGTGAAGACACACTAGGTCAACAGGAGAGCGTTCTCCCGTCAACATAATGACTCACCTCAAATAACTTTACATTTATAAGTTGCACTTTCATGATAGAGATCGCACTACAGTATTTGTATGAGGTGAACTGAAAAATAAGATTTCTTTTGTTGATCTTTTTATACAGTGCAAATATTTGTCATAAATAATAATATAAAGTGAGCACTGTACACTTTGTATTCTGTGTTGTAACGGAAATCAATATATTTGAAAATGTAAAAAAACACCCAAAAGTATTTATAATAAATGGTGTTCTATTATTTAACAGTGCAATTAAAACGGTGATGAATTGTGATTAATTTTTTTAATAGTTTGATAGCCCTGGAGCTAAATATTATTAAATATACATAAAGGGTTTAAAAATAACATTGTGGAAAGCTCTGTACATACAAAGTATTTAAATATGCCTAAAGGTTAATGGTTTAACTGACAGAGTCCTATATTTATGTACAAGTCTGTTTTGTGGAGCTCTTACTGTCCTGCTGTTGCACATAGAATCATAGAATATCAGGGTTGGAAGGGACCTCAGGAGGTCATCTAGTCCAACCTCCTGCTCAAAGCAGGACCAATCCCCAACTAAATCATCCCAGCCAGGGCTTTGTCAAGCCTGATCTTAAAAACTTCCAAGAAGGAGATTCCACCATCTCCCTAGGTAACCCATTCCAGTGCTTCACCACCCTCCTAGTGAAAAAGTTTTTCCTAATATCCAACCTAAACCTCCCCCACTGCAACTTGAGACCATTACTCCTCGTTCTGTCATCTGCTACTACTGAGAACAGTCTAGATCCATCCTCTTTGGAACCCACTTTCAGGTAGTTGAAAGCAGCTATCAAA